GCTGCCGCCCTAAACTGTGGCAGCTCTTGTCACAGTGTTTATACCATAGTCTGTGTAAAGAACAGACACCGTCTGCCTCCTCACTGGGTGAAGCCATCTTCGTACCCTCTGGTGACGGGCTGCAGTATAGGTCATAAATCCTGCCTCCTCCAGCAATCCCTATGGAGCTGTGGACAAACTTTAGAAATTTATTACACAGAGTATAAATTTTTCTTCCCCCTGGTTGTGATGTTGACATGTAGTTATTGTAAGACTGGTTTGTGCTCAAGTCCTCTTTTCTCTGTGCAGCTTCATTTTTAAAAGTTATCAGGGGGTTCATGTTTTATGATTGACCCTTGATACAGCCTATGAGCGCACAAAGATTGCAAAGCTCACCCAGGGCATACGCTGCTCCAGCGGAGCGTCATCACAGCGACTCTAGGCAACTGTCCTGTCGGATGCGTACAATGCTAATGCACAAGTGATGGTTCCAGGAAGTGGAAAAAATCCTGGAAATACCGAGAGCAATTCGGTTTCAAATTCGTGCAATGACGGAGGGCTGACCCAAATTGCTCATATAGTCTATGGTTTCTACTGGCAACATGTCAGCTGCTGCACAGGAGCAGGGATGTGCTGCCTGCACTAATTTCCTAAATGAGTTTTTCCATCACAAAGGCTACTGAGATATATATTTATAATTCGTTTTATCCTCAAAAGCCATGACGATTCATTTCTTACATGAAAAGCTGGAGAGTCACCTCCAACTCTGTAAATTATTATAATTATCTTATATGGGGTACCTTTAAAGCTTTACTCCGCAAAGCTGCAACCCTACTGTATCCAGGGATGGTTTTAGATAAATATTATATACGTTTGGTTGCTTTGTCATAAAAGGCAAGTTTTAAATTAACATATAGATGCAAGAAGAATGCCCCAGAAAAAAAGTTGGGAGAGAAAGAGAAAAAGGAAGAGAGAGAGAGACTGTAGCACAAAAACACAACACCAGTCCTCTGTATTGTAAACATTGTGGTCTGTTTGAAATTGAGTTTTTACTTTGAAAATCATACCAGAAATGTGGAACATGTTTATTTCCATGACAATGAGATGTTTTAGATGTAGATGTATGTATTGCTGAAAGAATTTATTCACATTTTTCGAATATGGTAATGCTGAGAACGGCACAGCTTGTGGTTAAATAGACGAGCCTTCTCTTCTCTAAATTTCAGCTACGTGGGTCATGCTGTTCAATCAGGCCAATTCATCCGGCTCAATGAAATCACTGTCAATGCCACTGATAAAAATCTCATTTGAATTTGGTCATTTCTGCAAAGCACTTCAAATAGAAAAATTAATTCTACTAATCAGTGTTTTCAGCTCCTCTTAACCAACTTTGCATTTTTTTGTGTAACCTTCCCTTTCATCTGAAATTATGGTTCTGAAATCATTTGTTTCAGGTCATGGGCATTTCTTTTTCAAAAATCCACATCTAAGTAGGAATTTGGTTACATTTGGTAACTAGCTCTTCCAAGGACCCAGTTTCTTATTTTCGAAACCTGAAAACCAATAAGATTGTTTTTTGAGGTCTGTGGGTCATTATAATCAAATCATGCTGGTGCTATAACATAATATTTCATCATTGAACACTGGCATTGAAATCAATGTATTGGTGCAAAAACATTTACTGATTAACAGGCAAAGTTTTTGAATAAGACAAAACTGTCAGCCAGCAGGTATCGAACTAAAAAGTGAAAAACCCTCGACTATACATCTATATGTATATTTGACAGGGAAAGTACATGTAGGTATTGTTACTTCTAATTCAGATAGGATAAGAACTGTGCAAGTGCAACCGATGCAGTTTATAAAAGACTTACAGCCATGGCTTATTTTCAGGACAAGCAATCCTGTTAGAGTGTAAAAACTAACAATTAAAGCAGACTTAGACAATTGGCCACATAAATGTGTGAGGAACTAACAGTAAAGCAAGCATGCATAACATATAAAAGGGATTACAGTTCCCCCATTTTTATAACTATGTTTTAAAACTTTGGGGTCATTTCATGGTTTTATGTCTATTCCAGATCTGCTGATCAAATGTTGAAACTTAAGTTAAAGTCAACAGAATAAGAGCTAGCTGGCTAACCTGAGCCGTAAGGTCAGTCAGTGAAATTACCACAAGTAGGTAAAGATAAATAACAGCTTATAGGAGTAATGGTATCATTAAAACTGGCATCTCCATCCACCGCAGATGGGATTTTATTGCCTATAAATGTGGCAGAAGATTAAGCTTCCAAATTTAGAGCTATCTCTTCTTCAGTTTTGAGGCTGTCAAGATTTCATGTTCCAGAGAGAGATTTTCTGATATTAAGGGTGAGTCAGAAAGTCTGCTCTTCACTTGGGAAAACCCATGCTGTTTTCTTGTTCGCTTTCTGGGAATGTGTGTGGGGCAAAGAGCGGCAGTAATTGTTTTTTTTATCAATCTGGAAGGGCTTTGCAGTTCACCTTTTTCTCGTAATCACAGCAGCCTAAAAGCAAAGCATCATGTGATGAAGGAATCCTGCTGAACATGTAATACTATCCCTAAATGGAATACAGATATGTAGAGAATGGTGTCATTATTTTCCAGCTTTCCTGGAGACTTCACAGCTGCTCCTTGATAATTCTGTTTGTTTTTGGAAGCAGTTTGTTTCTTTCACTTTCCCGTCTTTAGCATAAAATTAAAAAAAAAACAAAAAACTAATCTTGATTGATTCAGATTTAAACAAGCTGTTCTCTACCCATGTCTTCACTTTGCACTAATCAGTGATAATTACAAGAGCACAAACAACACAGCATGACATTGAACCTCTCTTCAGAGAGGAATCAGCAAACTCTGCTGAAGTGGCTGCACCACATCCTGCTTTTATAACAGCAGAGAATTATGGGAGCACGACGGTGGAGAAAAAAGAATTATTCTCACATAATCTTGTGACAAGCGCTTCATCACTCGCCGGATAAACTGTTCTTAGACAGAGCAGCTGCATTTTGAGTCTGAAGATAACTTTACTTGCAGACGGATTTTAAAGACGGTGGAAGCTTCTGGTTGTCCAGATTGTTCAAAGAATGATACTCTAACAATGACATAAAATGTGTTCATTTTTAAAGTGTTTCAACACTGATACAGATAATTGATTCAAGTTCGACAGCAAGCAATCTTTAGCTCTACAGATAACAACATTTTGAGTCAAAGGAAAGAGTTGTCTTTTTAATCGTATGTTATTTACTTTACCATTGATTTTTTTCTTTCTGGGATCGTGCAATGTGTTAGCACAAATGCATTGTAAAGATACTACTGTTGTGGAAATGTAGTCTGTGAGAGGCTTGTTTTGGACTTAAAGACCCACTCTGATGAAAATCATTTTTTTTTCTTGTTGTCTACATGTTTATTTGTCATTTTTCTGATGTTACAGGATATATCATGAGAAAACTAAGTGCGAAATTGCATTTCTGAGTATTTCGGCATTTGAATCTCTGGCAGACTCAAACAGCAGGTTCAGATTTAGTGAGATTTCCTACGTAGCAAATCCAAGCTCTGCCCCTGCAGGCCAAACTCAGAAAAGTAGAGAGGACAATCACGGAACAAGCATGTATGTTAGCGGATTGCAATGCTGGTAAGAAAGCTAATTATGATTTTAACTTTCATTATGTCTCCAAAGACATTAGTGTCCATGGGCTAATTAGCTCCTATGTTACCTGCCACTTCTACTACACCGGCAATGTTAGGCTACAAGCTAGCGTGAAGAGGAGTGTACAGAGCAGCACTGTCTCTGCCCACGACTCAGAGGCGAATCGCTAATGAGCTACTGGAGCTCTGCAGAAGAAAAGCCCTTAAGAGTGACACAGGTAAGGTGAGTTTGGCTAAAAACTTAATCATTACAACTTTAAGATCACTGATAACACTTTATGTAGTAAAATTTAAAACAAAAAAGATCAGAGTGGGATTTTAAAAGTACAGAAAATTTCTTTTACAATTTACTACAATGTAAAGAGTGATTGAACTATTACTGAGTCACTGCAATATAAAAATAATTAGTTTCTGTAGTACCTGCAGTCCTCCCCAGATTACAGATTGTGGAGTGTGCAGTCATTTAAAATCAGGCTTTGGCTGTTTACATGAAGAGGATCCTCCTTGGTCTGCTTAGCAGTCATGAGCTATACCTTAATCACTGATGTTAACAAGACTGGGCACTCAGCAATTTCCTCTTTAAAGAGTGTTAATTGGGTGCTTCTTAAGACCAGAATTACAATTTCCAGAGGTGGACAAAGCTCTCCTTCCTGCACATAGACTGCAACTCCCCACTATATCCTTGTCCCTTTCCTCGAGGGGGAAAATAATGCAGGTATTTAAAAACAGAAAGATCAAGCCTGAGAGATCATTGCATTGCGTGTGCTCACCGTTGCACAGTAGACTATGATGTTGGCTTTAGAGAGGGACTCACTACACTGGTTCCAACAAAATGACAGAAATGGCAGAATAACAGTAAGCATTTACAGTAAAATTCCAGTACATTAAATTTGTTCATGGCATTTCTACTGTTTATGCGATTTGGCCTCTTAAAATAGCTATGTCCTCATGACTGCCTCAAATGTTATACAGCGCTCAATGTGATATGAATCTTTTTTTCTCTATCTCACTCTTGCTGATTTCTCCCTGTTTCCTTACTCTGCTCCCTCCTCCCTGCCTTGCTCTTTCGCTGCACTGATCTGAATTCCTACCTTGTTTTTTTTGTTTTTGTTTTTTTGAGTCTTTTCTACCGAATCTTTCACTACTGTGGTTCAAAAGCACAGTCCCATACTGTGTGGAAATAGTATTTAATTTTATCCTCACATGAAAACCCAGTACAATTTCACTGAGAAGTGGCAGTCCTAATTATTATTATTATTATTATTATTATTATTATTATTATTATTATCAGTAACACATAGTTACATTACTTTATCAGTGTTTTTGCTTTGTTAAATTTTTTTCAGAAGTTATATTGTGATCATTATTTCTGCATCATTCTGTCTTTGCATGAAATAAAGACGATCTTGATCTTGTATGTTTACTAACACATGATCATAAATTAATCTTGAACACTGACACGACTACCTCATTTTAGTCAGTCTTTGAGAATTAGTACTAACCCTGCCCAAGCTTATGACAAGAAAGCAAACACTGTCACTCCAATACATGCAAAATTCTGATGAAATTATGTTTCTACAAAAGACATGCCACTAATCATGTCCTAGTAATCAAGTGGCAATCTCTCCAGACACTGTACATTTATCAAAACAAGGCGACAGTCTGTCTACCAATGGTAAATTGTAATTTGTTAAATGCCTACAAGTACAAGCTCTGTATATCATCAAGACTTGGTGCCCAGAGTTGTGCCTTGCATAAAATGTAATATATTTGTCCTGTGCCAGCAGAGCGGTGTTTGCTTTGAAAGCTTGATCCCCATAGTATCACAGTTTATTTGAATTATGGGCTTCAACAGATTTAAGGGTTTGTGTTCTCCAAACAAAATAAAGGCAATTACAAAAACATCCAGAAGCTGATGTTTGTGTCACAGAGATGTGCTGGGAACCTTTTTAACGGCTGATTTATCTCTGTGTCCCCGGGGTGTTGACTAAACTGACTTTGTCATGTGTTCATTACAAATCCATTTTCTATTATCTCTTGATCAGTAAAATTAAGTCTGTTGACATGGACTACGGAGGATTATGTGAGGCAGAAGCATAATCACTCGAAATTATAATTTTCTGGCATTTTCACAGTATCCAGAGAACCTTCTTTTATTATGGTCAAATTCATCACACACACCATGATTGTTTGTAGTTCTTTATAACCCTTGCATGTACCTCCCTCACTCCAGGTGTTAAAAAATGAAAGTGTAAGAATAGTCTACACTTTTGCTGGTTTGGCTTGCTGTTATTGCTCATAATAAGGACTCACTGTTCATTTTAGTTCGTATAAATTCCAATTAAACTCCTCACCGGTGCTTTAATTGCCAGAGAAATCTTTTGCTCTATTATTCATAAAACCAAGAAGTAACTGCTTTGCTGCTGGGAGATTGTATCAATAACCAAAGAGGGAACACAGGCTACCATACCCGAAAGATTTTTATGAAACACACACACCACAAAATCCACAAGATACACATTCAGAACACAAACAACAACCTAAAATAAGCAGAATTATGGTCAATTTGTAAAAAAAAAAATGGAGCAGAAACTAAGGAGATGAGATGTGCTTTAGTGTCCCTGAGGGGAAATCTGTCTTGGTCAATAGTGCAAGTAACAAACAGCTCAGTGCAGCTGGAGCCTAGAGCATGATGCAAAAGTGTATTTATATCTGATGTGCTGTGAAAACACCACTGATGGAACAACATAAAATGAACTTCTTAGAAAACCACAGTAGATTTAGTCATTATATAGGCTGTGCTGCTGGCCTTTAGGTGTGAGACGGGACACAGCTGGAAAGCCCAGTTATTTACACTGCAAGGGAGAGATGTGGTTTTATATCTATCAAACTGAGTGTGTTGTTACTGACCAATGTGACCTATTGACTGAAACAAAACTGTTTTTTAACAAGGAAGCAGCTCTAAACTCAGGAGCTTCAAAACACACAGGGAGGTCAGGAGGTGAAAAGGTGAAGAAGAAGGAACTATGATCCAAACCAGAAAACAGGGAGAAAGGTTAGCAATCAAATAGTCATGGGTTACATTGACACAATCACGACAGAAAAGGACACGGCACACCTATTTAAATCATGTCTACTTTTGGGCCTTAAAACCTTGATGCCATCCTTATGAATGATTTTTGTTTGTTTACTTGTCTTATAACAAATATCTACAAAATCCATCCCCAGTGGCGCCCCTGCAGGTCTGGAGCACTTTGGGTATGATGACTTGATCTGCTCATTGTGCATAGCTGTGATTAATGGGTTCATGTCCCACTCACTTTGCATTATTTGCTCATAGTTGCTTTATTTCAGCAGCACATTTATGTTGATTTTAGTTTTGTGTTGTTCCTGCATTTGCAGTCTCCTGAATTTGCAGCACAGCTATCAGGCTGTTACAGGGAGTTTGCCAAGTTCACCACTTTGACAAATGCTGTTGGGGTTAACCAGTAAAACCCAACTTAAAAGATAGCATATGTGGATTTACATGTTTTGTTGTGTTTTGTTGCACCTTGACACTACCATTCCAAACCAGTAGAACACATGTTGATGAAACCCCGACCTAACCCTAACTCTTACCAGTTTCTACCTCCAGTTGTTGTATCTGAAATGCTTTTTCTTTTTCAGAATTTTTTTATCACATTAAAGAATGAAGAAGGGGAACGTGTGGGTGAAGTTTAGTTTTATTTTTGCCTGTTTCATTCATAACCGTTAAAATTAGCCTAAAAACATCCACATGCTGGGTATTTACAGCACAGTCAACCCTGGGAAAACAGGCTGTTCCTTTCAGGCCTCACAGGGATCATTGAGTTGATCTGATGCCAGGAAAAGTACCTCACTGGTGTGTTATCAGCAAAACCAGAGTCTGAGGGGAATCCAACTGGTGGGAGATTTCTCCGCCGCCTTGTTTTTTCCTTATTAGTGATATCCCGTGGTGAAGGATGTTCTGTCACAGAGGCTCCATTTAAAGCAAGGGAGCACAACAATGAGAACATCATTTCATTCAAGAAAAACAATGAAAAGATATGGAGCCTCTGAAGGGACATTAATATTAAAAAAAAAAAATTCTTGAGAGTCGCAAATGTTACAGAAGTTATTGTCAGTGTATTACTTCCATGTCAATTCAACAAAAATATTGGAACCTACACAGCCGTGAGAAAGGTTAATTGGATTTTATTTTGAACTCATTTTCTGACCACCTTGTCCCTTTGCATACACGTAATGTTTTTGGGCGTCCCTTGACCATAGTAATTCTTTCAAATCATCTTCCATGACTTGTGTTTTATTAGAAAACAGTGCCTGTGTTTCAGAAATGATTTAAGATCTTTTTATCTGAGGCCAATCTTACAAAGACGCAATGAAACTCTTCTACAGGTGCGTTCCATCGATTGGGTTGACTCGACACGGAAGAAATACACTGATCTATAATCTTTTTACTTATAACCCTTTGAGAACTTTGCAAGATCTAGCAATAGGTTTGCGAGAGCCCGCAAAAGATATCGAGAAAACCTTTTTTCCGTAGGGGCTCCGTAAAAAAGAGTACATGTTATGATCTTTTTGAGGCTTTGCCACAAAATGTAATGCAACCATATGATACATGCTGTGCTGCATAAACCTGTTGTTTAAAGTTTCGACTCTGTCACATGTGTCTTATCAGGCATAGATTAGCAAAGATTATATGGATTATCTGTCATTTTCTACAACTATTCTACATAGTTTTGTGGTTTGAATTCCACAGATTAATGGAAACGAGACACGGAGTTGCAGGACACACTACCACACACAGCTGCTTTCACATTTTCCATGAGGTGCTGTTGTAATTGTGCTGTTAGCATTTTACGGCTCCAAAACTGAAATGAAATGCTAACAATTCTCTTTCAAAATTGAAAGAAAAGTGAAAGTAAAAGTAAATATTTTGCTCATATGAGGTACCAAATTATGTGCAACCTCTCAGAGAAAATACATATGAATTTCTTAAAAAAAAGGGATTTGCATTCAGGGATGATTAAGCAGTTAATGACCCTGAAGATGCTTTCATATTATGGTCCATGTAACATTATTACAGGGTGCAGATGGGTAACCATCACACTGGTTCTCTGAAAATGGCAATGAAACAGGCATTAGCTGAACACCAGACAGATACCCAGTTGGATCAATCTGCTCATTCAGTTTTATTAAGTGCCACAGACATCCAAGCTTACAAAACAAATGTTTTACAGACACAATGGTGCACATTACAACCTGAATAACCAACAGTGTCTTTGTACTGATCAAAAATGAGGAAGAAACTTATGAGGTAAGTTCTCCCCAGAGAAATAACGAAAACTGTGATTGTAAAGACACAACAGAGGTGTGAGACAGTTGCAGAGGCTTGTACTCTGTTGCAGATTTTTTTTCTTTCTTTTAACTTCCAGTGTTTGGGACATTTTAAAGGTAAGTGTATGGCTCTGGATAATATGCAGCATAAAGATCTACAAACACAAAGCAACAAAGTGCCACATTTTACATTCTAGAGGACTAAGAATAGGCAAAATACTAAGCCATTACCAGCAGTGAGTCATTTCACACATTGAATAATTGACTAAGTAGATAAATGCAGGGAGTATTAAATTGTTGCCCTTTGTATACGTGATTATTACACTTATATGTTTGGGGCTATTTTCTCGAGTGTTATATAAAACTAAGCAAAAATATTGTTTTGTTCATGTGCTCTTTTTTTAAGTACAAAGCTCAATTTATGTTTCACATTTTCAACATACTGTATGTTACAGAAAAAAACAAAAAATAAACATTCATGTTTTTTCTCATCATAACCTCAACAACTAATACCCAGAACTTCTAATACAACATTTTACAGACGTCCCATTCAAAAAGGAGCATTCTCAGTCCTGTGTGGGTGTGAATGAGCCTTCACAGTTGGTGCTAAAGAGAGCAAAGTCATCAATTTCTCCTCCTCCTCTGCTGTGTGGGAATAATCATTGACTTAGTCCCTAGGTCCTCGCTGGCATGGAGGATGAGAGTCTTCTGATTACATTGATTAGTTTCTCTTCGCCAGATGAAGCTACTGTTGACCAGCTGGTGCCGTTAAAACCTACAGCAGTCTTGTTCCCCTCCATGACGAACAGTAAATAACTCCAGGCTGGAAATATGTGATGAATTCATAGAAAACAGATGCATCCCTCAGCTGTTAGAAACTGCTGTTTTTCTTTTTAGGTTTTCTTGCGGAGGTAAATTGTGTACAGACTTGGCGTGTTAAAAAACTTGATTTACAGCCTTTGAGTTCTTGTTTCAGCTGGATCTTGAGTGATTGTGTCCATCGTATAGATGTATCTTTAGATATATCATACAGATCACAGCGAGAGAGGTACAAACCAACCACACAGATTTATATTTTATACTGCAGGACTCAAACATACCACACAGCATAACCTGAAAACTGTCAACATAGCACAACAACCAAATATACAGCGATGACCTTACAAGGATGTGGATATTTGTTTCAGTGTGCATATACAGTGTAAAACAATGGTTTCATATTGAGTTTCACAGTAATGGTGCTTCTTTTCTTAAGACTGAAACATACAGGATCCGTATTTGGGGTGTAATGTCAGCGTCACGTATCATGAAGCAAATAGGTTGCCATTCTAATCAGTGCAGCATCACATACAGGACATGCATTTGCTCTGTCGCAGCTCCATATCAGAATCATACTGAGTGCGGCTCTGCTAAAGATACACGCCAGGTCTATTTTCTCGGCTCCATGCTTCCAATGCATATCAATCTACACAGAGAAGATCATTCTAGACTGGATGTAAAGCAAGAAAACCGTGCATGTCATCCAGTATTTCAAAATAAAACACCATATGCGAACTCCTGGCCGTGTATCAGGTCATGTAGATGAGAAATACTTCCTGGTTTGGATTAATCAGTAACAGAACAATCTGATAGCTGATCCCTAATCCATGTGGACCCCAACAGGACTTTTAACTGCTAACTCTGTCTGAACGTAACAGCACAGCATAAAGGAACATACAAAACTCAATTCCATTGAAGTTGGGAAATTGTGATAAACGTAAATAAAAACGGAATACAATGATTTGCAAATCCTTTTCAACCTATATTCAATTGAATACACTACAAAGACAAGATATTTAATGTTCAAACTCATAAACTTTATTTTATTTTTTGCAAATAATCATTAACTTTAGAATTTGATGGCAGCAACAAGTGACAAAGAAGTTAGGAAAGGTGGCAAAGAATACTGAGAAATTTGAGGAATGCTCATCAAACACCTATTTGGAACATCCCACAGGTGAGCAGGCTAATGGGGAACAGGTGGGTGCCATGATTGGGTATGAAAGCAGTTTCCCCAAAAATTCTCAGTCATTCACAAGTAAGGATGGGGCAAGGTTCACCACCTTGTGAACAACTGCGTGCGCAAATAGTCGAACAGTTTAAGAACAAAGTTTCTCAAAGTACAATTGCAAGGAATTTAGGGATTTCAACATCTACGGTCCATAATATCATCAAAAGGTTCAGAGAATCTGGAGAAATCACTGCAAGTAAGCGGCACGGCCTGAAACCAACAATGAATGCCTGTGACCTTCGATCCCTCAGGCTGCACTGTATCAAAAACCGACATCAGTGTGTAAAGGATTTCACCACATGGGCTCAGGAACACTTCAGAAAACCACTGTCAGTAAATACAGTTGGTCGCTACATCTGTAAGTGCAAGTTAAAACTCTACGATTCAAAGCGAAAGCCATTTATCAACAACATCCAGAAACACCGCGGCTCCTCTGGGCCCGAGCTCATCTAAGATGGACTGATGCAAAGTGGAAAAGTGTTTTGTGGTCTGACGAGTCCACATTTCAATTTGTTTTTGGAAATAGTGGACGTCGTGTCCTCCGGGCCAAAGAGGAAAAGAACCATCCGGACTGTTATCGACGTTAAGCTCAAAGGCCAGCATCTGTGATGGTATGGGGGTGCATTAGAGCCCAAAGCATGGGTAACTTACACATCTGTGAAGGCAACATTAATGCTGAAAGGTACAAACAGGTTTTGGAGCAACATATGCTGCCATTCAAGCAACGTCTTTTTCATGGACGCCCTGCTTATTTCATCAAGACAATGCCAAGTCATATTCTGCACGTGTTCAACAGCGTGGCTTTGTAGTAAATGAGTACGGGTACTCGACCGGCCTGCCTGCCGTCTAGACCTGTCTCCCATTGAAAATGTGTGGCGCATTATGAAGTGTGAAAATACGACAACGGAGACCCCGGACTGTTGAACAACTGAAGCTGTACATCAAGCAAGAATGGGAAAGAATTCTACCTTCAAAGCTTCAACAATTAGTCTCCTCAGTTCCTAAACATGTATTGAGTTAAAAGGAAAGGTGATGTAACACAGTGGTAAACATGCCCCTGTCCCAACTTCTTTGGCACGTGTTGCAGCCATGAAATTCACAATTTCCCAACTTCAATGGAATTGGGTTTTGTAGTTTACTCAATTAAACAACCGAAACTGTAAAATCACGTTGCCTTTCACGTACAGTAGAGTCTCGACAGTCACTGAATTATATCCAAATTGGCAGGAAATAGACCACAGAAAAGATAAACAACCTGTTGATATGTGATGCTGACGAAACGCACTCAACACAGATCCTGTATGTTTTCAGCATTAGGAGATCTAAAAATCTGATTAACCAATAAATTTGAGAGAACTATTTTATTTTTTCAAACTACCAATATCTATGTCAAAATAGTCATAGTGTTTGAATGCTGCATTTAGTTGATTAGTTTGTCCACAATAAAGCTCTTCTCTTGAAAATGTTGAATAACAACTGTCTGATTTATTCCAAACCTGAAAAAGCCAGTGAGACTGGTTAGAGACCTTGTTAGAGACCTTGTTGCTAACTCAGAACCGGTGGTTGGTAGAAAAACAAGGGTTTTGAGAAAGTACATTTACGTGCTATGAAAAGAATCAATTTACCGTGTGAGTATGACTGAAACTGCACTTTCAGAATACATGTTAACACATTAGTCTGATGGAAATACCACCAAGTCAAAGTTAACACAGTTGGTCTAACATATCTGCTAGATAATGCAGCTAAGTGTTGATTTTCTGTTGCATGTATACTCCTCAGTCTGATCCATATTGACCCTGTGCAGGAATCAAACAGCATCATTGCATTAAAGAAAGATGGGAGGTAGACAAAACCTCAACAGATAAAGGAGGCTAATGAAAACGACACAGCCATTGTAATGTTCCAACCAAGTCTCTTCAGTCTGCGTACATATAACTCAACATTACATTCTCAAATCGTGTGTTGTGCATACACCAAAAATTCTAATGTGGCATGCGGTTCATGCACCAATTCCTCCCATCAACTTTTCTCAGTGATGCTCACTCCTGCAAAGCAAGCTTCTTCACACTGGTCAGCATGGGAAATAGTGTTTTGTGAAATTTCAATCTGTCATTTCAGTGTTTTGGCATCATGACAGCATGTGTGTTCAGATTTATGTGGGGTGAATAGTGGGCCACTCAGTTAGCATAGCTGGTACGGCTTGGTCGTAGTGAATCACAGATGCATTAGGCTGAGCATGTAAACATACTGACTGATCAAAGCTGATTAGCACAAACTGTTCCCAGTGAATGGGTCATGTTTCACAGGCAACAATCAGAGACATCTGCTGAGCAATGGTACCCAAAGCCAGAAAAGTGGAAAACAGGAAGGGGTCATCGTCTTTGGTCTGTGCAGTGAGTACTGAAAAAGAGAAAGAGTTTCAGAGACCACAGGAGCCCGCAGAAACACAGTGGAGTGAGAACATTGTCAGACTTTCTCATCAGCCTCCCCATTACTGAGAAGATTTCCACACTCTGTCTGCATTGTTTCCAAATTTCTCCAGAATTTGCAGGAAACTAGTTCTTTTAGAAACAGGACAAACCTGCACAGCCTTGAGGGACTCCAATTCGACTGGGTAATTTTACCAGTTCACTGCAATTTTACTGTACATTCAACAGTCAAGCTTACTTACAACATATAATTAGTCAAAATTTATGACATGTACATTCTTGACAATATGGCTGTACAGCGAAACACTCTAAAAGGTCGACTGATAATTAGAGTCCATTTCTGTAGAAAAATCGATGACAGTTTCAGAGCAGCACTTGACCTAATTTTCTGTCTTAATCTCAGCACCCTCGAGCCTGCTAACTGAGATTTGTAAAATTTTAACGTGTCAAAGGAAATTGACTTCCTCTTTTGTATGCACTGGGCAGGAATCACACTGCAATGTGACTTTTATACATAATGTCCACAACGTAATGAGTTTCACTTTACAGAGAGGTTCAATTTCCTGAGTTCAGGCTGCACAGATTTTTATAACAACGGAAGAGAAGCAGGGAACAGAGTCGGATCAAAGAGGGAGTAATCACATCCTCCTCTTTCCTCTTAAGTCCACCTTTAATGAACAGCGCTCATGTGGAATAGTTCAGCTGAAGCAATATCCAAGCAAACATTACAAAGAAGAGTCCACACAAACACACGGTTCTGTCTCATGGTTCTGTCCCTGCAGAGTTACTTTAATTGTGTGACGGTCACTGTAATGAGTTTTCATGTCACCATCAATGTACAACCAGTCAGACGTTGGTGCAGTTGGTCGAGGGGGGCGTGTCTGCTTTGCTGCGGATCTCCTTGATGTCGTTCAGAGGTGAGTCACTGGTACCAATCTGGCATTTGAACACCTGTTTATAAGCCTTCCTGAAGTTCTCTGACAGAAAGGCGTAGATGACCGGGTTGACAGATGAGTTGCTGTAAGCCAGGCAGTGGGCCGCCACTCGTAAAACAAAGGAGGCCTGGTTCAGAGGAAAGGTCCCGAACTCCACCCAGAGGTGAACCACGTGATGAGGGAGCCAAGAGAGGCAGAACACCACCACCACCACCAGGACCGTCTGAGCGGTCTAAGAGGCATAGATCAGGAGCAGAGAGAAGAGGGGAGAGAAAGATAGTCTAGATTAGTAACAGATAAAAACACATCTGTCAATAGTAAATTATTTAAGATACTCAAAACATTGAAAAAACTAAAATACAGTTATTAATGACTAAGTAGATCTAACTATTGCTTTGTACACCTGAGTAACCAAAATGACAGTTTCTTTTAGGAGATTTTTCCACTTAGTGCTTTACTTTAGCCTCCAATTTTAGCCTCCCTTCACTGGCTTCCTGTCAGTTTTAGAATTGATTTTAAGATTTTATTGATTACTTTTAAAGTGCTCAAAGGACTTGCTCCGAGCTACATTTCAGAGCTTTTAATACCTTATGAGCCAACTCACAGCCTCAGCTCCTCTGGCGAAGGCCTCTTGGTCATTCCAAAGTTGAGGCTCAAAACTTAAGGTGATAGAGCTTTCTCCATCAGAGCTCCTCGACTTTGGAACGACCTGCCTGAAGAGACAGGGCGTGCAGAGACAGTCGCTTCTTTTAAGTCAAATTTAAAAACTCACATTTACAGACTTGCTTTTATGTAATGCCTTCTTTTCTCTTTTTTCTTTTATCTCCTTTACCCCTGTCTTATTTCGACTTACTGCCCTTTTTAGCGTTTGTTTTGCTTATAATATTTTCTTATTTTACTTTTTAGGCCCCTTATTGATTTAATTGTTTTTTCCTGCTCATTTTATCATTCATATTACCATTTTTTATTTTATTATGATTTTATTATCATTATTAATATCCTCTTTCTATATTTACTATCCTGTTTCCCATTATTACATTTTTTTCTTACCTATTTTATCTTTTTTTTTTTTTTTTTGGTCCTCATGGTCTCATTTTATGTTGTAGGGTTTTTGTATTGTCTGGGTTTCTCATGACAAATGGAATTGGTCTTCAATTCGGACGCCTTGTTTTTAACTGTGCTTTTGTTTTTATTTCCACGTGCTGATGTTCTGGGCTTTGCAACTGTTTGTCGAAGCACTTTGTAAATTTCTGTATTTAAAAGTGCTATAAAAATAAAGTTATTATTACTTTAGTTGATTTTTACACAAAGAAAGCAGCATAGCATTGCTGTGAAACAGTAAATTGCAAACAGTTCAACTCAGTGTTAATTCACTTTCTCAGTTCTTTCAGAAAACCTGCTCAGTGCATCGGTATAGACTGAGTATATATGTTCTTCAATCCGGCTGAGTGCCTATGCTGTAACAACAATAATTCACTTTCAATTCTGCAGTTGTGTCCAAGGACGACTTACATATGGCACCATTCAGTTCCATACAAATACTAGCCTAAAGCAACCCCACCCCTCCCTCATTTTTTCCAACAGTACAGCTGTGTTATCCACTTTCAGCAGAGCGAAATATTGTCCATTTTCACATTTTAAAATGAAAAAAAAAAACAAAAAGTTGCAACAACAGCATTATCATTTGGAGAGTGTTTTTGGCCAATGCATGTCCAAAATGTACACTCTTTCCAGCTCTGGGTTGTTTTTATTTAACAAGCAGTGAAAAAATGATGTAGTATTTTCAGCAGCAAAGGGGTGTTCATGCCTATCTGTTAATACCGGTGTGGAGGAAGTATCAGGTTTTAGGTTTGAAACAGCCACAAAGCAAAGGTGGACGATAACAGAGTTGTGAGTCATCAACCAAAAAGCTGAAAGATGAACAACAGCTGTTTGAAGCTGGTGGAAATTGCGGTCTTCTCGTTGGATTTGTTCTGGCTGAGCCCTTTCAAACTGAACACAGTAATTTAATCCATTGATAATATAATGCAACTTATTTTGAAGGGATTTGTCCTTTTTTGGATAGAAAAGCCTGAGAGAGTGAGAGACGATGTGCACCAAATCATATTTGGACTGGGAGGTAATCCAGTGACCTGTGGGAGGAGGGTTGTGGCCTCTTGATTTGGGCCATCTGTTCTACCAACTGAGCCAAAGCGGCACCCTCGGTCAACCAATTTTCATTTAATGTCAACTTCATTCAGCCTTTTTGGAAACAATAGCTGTTTAAAACATTGAGCAGCTTCATATCATTGGTATTCAAGGGCTGACTATTTATTCAACTGCTGCTCCTGTAAGTATTTCCATGACTCTAATGTTCGAATTGGACACAGTGCAGTTGCTTATACACCTACTACATGCAAAGATGACGTGGCAGACTTGTGGCTGAAAGGAAAACAATGGAAAGACCTCTCCGTCCATTCAACAGGCTTGCAGGGCCTCAAACCTGTCAGCCTGTGATTTTGGTACGCATGACAAACCAATCACTTAAACAGAGGAACTTAAAGTTAGCAGTTAATTTAGGAAAAAGGCTGACCACAACCTAAAGGGATATTCCGGCTTAAAATTAAGTTAGGGTCAAACACACCATAACACCAAGTTAGACACCCCCTCAAGAGATGAACGTTGCCAACCGCTTGCTTGACCATAAATTAACTTCACGCCGGAATATCCCTTTAATGCCTGGTAAAGAGGGGACATTAACTGCAAAAACATATAAATAATCGGGTCTCCTGCAAGACAATAAAAAGTAAAGTGAGACAACTTTGTATGTCAGCTGGTTTCTAAGAAGCACTAAATTTCTTTGGGCATGACTAGCAAAGCCAAAGGTTTCAGCTTGAGAGAGCCATCGTAAAAAAACAATTACATACTGCTGATCGACAGACCCCCGCTACTGCCTTTCAGGCCAGCAAGTGGATTCAGAGTCCAGAACTAATTACTTCTCATCATGGGAAAAACTCAGTGGAGGCTGTCATTTATCTAAAATGCTGCTCTCCATACTTTTTTTTTTTCAAAGAAACATAAAAATAAAGACAAAATGTCAAACATCTGAAGACTCATCTGTAACCAATTGAAATGCAGATGTTTATTGAACTGGAAATGTCACGGATAGGATGACAAAAGGAACACTGGTCAAATTATGGCATAACACTCAGCATTGCTGAACTAATAATATCCTGGAAGAATTAGCATAAAGTGACATTTACAGACACGGACTTATCATGATTGATGTTGAATTAACGTGAAATGAAGTGTTGCTATGATAACCACATGATGTGATGACCAGTTTTATTTAGTTTCTAGAAATCCATTGAACTTTTTCTCAATCCAACATAATACTGTATCTTAATTTTTATGTGAATTTTATGTGATATATCATAAAGTGTGGTTACAAAGTTTTGGGAGAAAGAACACAAGGAAACAAAGAAACTTTCTGATAACAGATTGGCCGAACACTTTCTTTTAAACCCTTCCAGGTTACACATCACTTCAAAGACCCTGAGAGATGATAGCGGCAGAGTCAAGGCCACTTTGAAGACTGGATGGATTCAACTTCCTCTTAATTCAGTGTCCACAGTATATTGTCATTCACTGGCATCCTTGGTGCAGTACTTTTCTGCCATATGGAGAGCATATTAGTGAGATAATAGGATGGGCATATGAGTCCACAGCATGCTCTGTTGCTTTCTGAATACATATGGAGAAATGCTCAATCCCATTCAGCAAAAATAATTCAGTTTGATACATTCAAACTAACATACATCATAACAGTACATCATGATACTGCCCTTGGGAAGCCAGAAGAATAGGAGGTATCACAGAGGTGAAATATAAGTAGTGGTGAAGTACCACCAACAATCAACTCTGCAGATTTTCATAAAGATTTGCCGGCATCCATTATACATTGTGAATAATGCAGACATAAAGAGCACAGTGAATACAGATTCACAGCCTGTTTTTCCAGGACACAGCACACAAGAAGTTAGTTTACACTGGATCCTGTCCAATAGTGTCGGGCGGTATGACGGTATATAACATGTGATGTATATAAGTGTCTCCCGGTAGAAATTTTGCTGTACCGTTAATACCGGAGAGAGAGAGAGAGCAGATGTCTGCTGCATTTCTCTGAGTCAGTGCTTAGTTGTCTGCGCTTGCTAACAGGAAAGCTGGAGCGCAGCCAATTGGGTGCGTTTCCGTATAATTGTACGGAGTTTATTTACTCCGTTTGATTGATCAGGTTTGGGTGCGCACCCTATAATCACCAGCGTGTCCAGCAGACTGCTCGGCAGTTTCGATGAAGAAGAAACAGCTTCACTGGTGGTGGTCATGAAGTACGCGGAGATTAGTGGCAGTACCGAGCAAACAGAGGCAGCTCGACCCAGCCAACATGAGGAAGAGGAGGAGGAGGGCGCGAGTCGCGACATCGGTTGTTTGGAGATTCCTCGGATTTAGAAAATCCGACAATGATCAAAAAACAATACTATGCAAAGAGTGTCGTTTGGCTGTCATTGCTGGAGGTGGAAACACCAGCAACCTCTTCCACCACCTAAAGTTGAAACACGCCAAGCTCTATTATGAAAACCAAAAGATGTATGGCGAATCCACTGCACCAAAAACTGAAGCAGCAGCAACTCTTCGCATACAAAAGGGCTTGGCAGAGTCTTTCGCCAAAGGTATGCTATATGATAAAAAATTGCCAGACTGGTTGGACATTTTGTTTGCATTTGTATACAAATCCAGGTTTAAAAGTAAAAGGAAAATGAACAAATGCAACAGTATGTTATTTTTAAGCATTAATTGAATTCACAGGGGGAAAAAACATACCATGATATCTACCTTCACCGTGATATGAAATTACTCATACCATGATATAAGATTGTCAGCATGTCTTCAGATTTAAACAATTTACATAAATATGCTGCTGTCTCTCATACACTTATTTATATAGTATTTTTAATGCATTTATACACAATAATACATTAAGACAACCACAATTCTGGTACTTTTGACAGTATTTGTTGAGTAAATGTGTGCTGATTGGCTGGATGTTGAACATGTGAAAGTTATCCACATATTTCTCTCAAGAGTTGTTCAACACCTGTCAGAGCTTACAGGAGAGTTAATATTGAAATTTTGTATCAGGTGGCCTGCAGAGCTCTAGGCAGAAGCTGACGTCCTTGTTATGTGCTATGAGTAAATTGACAGCTTTGCACTACTATGTCCATGTGCATAGCTGTCATTTAGCTAAAAACACTGTTTACAAATGAAAATTGTGCCTGACTGTCATCTTAGAGAAAACTTATCATATTTAAAATGAAGGTGAATCCTGGTCTTTGATATTAGCTCATCCACTTCGCACATTCACACATAATTACACAAGCACATAAACACTAGCACCCAATAAAGCAGCAGAGGTTTCAACAGTTTTCTTGGAAGAGTTGGAGCCTCTGCCTGTGTCTATCAGCCATTCTTTGTTTGGATAGCCTCCACAACACATTCATATCTTCACCCCACCCCCATGAGAGCCATCACTCTGGCCTGTACAAACATCAGCATCAGCACAGGAAGGACAAACTCATAAAACTCGAGCCTCAAAGCCTCTCCTTCCCACTCTCAATGTTTTTTACAACCCTGTTTTGCTATAGCCTATAAGTACAGTACTGTGGAAATGAATTAAAGCGCTAGCTTCCTTTTTTGCTTGGTACCAAAACATCAGAGCCAGAATCAGCCACTTTGTTGTTATATGCTCTCATTTTTGTCACTGCACAACATTTCTATACTTCCATTATCGAGAGGTTACAAGTCCATGTAAAAATCACAATGACGCATTTTTGGATCAGCTGCAAAGAGAACAGTTGCAGTAATTACTTTGGCCACGTTTAGCCAGATATAAGTGGAGATGTGACATTGTTTTGTGCCAATATTTGACAAATCAGATGCTAATTCATTCAGGCTTTCTGAAAAAAGGCTGTATATTGTATAGTTAATTTGAATTGGCACAGACTCTCTGCCCTATCCTCCGGCACATTTTGAAAACCTTTGTTGTTTTATTTAAGTTAAAAATAAAAAATGACTTTTTTTTCATGTCCTCTCCAACTCCTGTCAATTTCTTTTGTTGTGGTGTTATCCTTTCTTTGTTATCAAAAAAGGGACGTAACAGTCAACTAGAAATGTACTTCTTCACCACCAAAAAGTTTCATAACAGGATATACAATACATACAATGCAGCGCAAAATAATGCAATACAATTTAAGACACAACACTACATAATAATGAAACATTACACTGTGCTTTGGCATTTTTTTGTGTAGATACTGCTAAACTGCAATGAGGTTTAGTTGTGGCTGAACGCGATCATGGAATAATTCGGATGATTAACAACAGATTTGTTTACTTATCTCCGCTTGACTATATAACAATATGATTTTGGAAAAGTGCACTTTGACTCCTTTTTTTACTTGAATTATTGATATTTTGTTGGGATAAAATGTTTGAATATTGAAGATTAAGTGATGTATTTCTTGCGTGTAATACATGTATTGAATTTCTTTTGTTTACTTTAAAAATAGTGAATTTTCTTTTGATGAAAATGATATTCATTTATGCTTCAGCCTTTTTTTTTAGGTCAGGTTTTTTTGTCAGGAATCATAGATCATCACTATTGACTCAACCAGTACTGCTACATTCAACCCAACAAGATGGCGAACTAACCCCATGGAATTGTTGAACATATGGATTGTGGGGTATTTTTATTATTATTTATCCCTGGAACTAGGTTGGCACTAATTCCGAGTTTTATTTTCCTTTCCTCTTGGCCAAAACCTCCATCATTGTTAATTTGCAATAACTGTTTTGTTTTCTTTCTGTTGTTCATTCTTTAGAAATATTTCTTCAATACAAAACATTAAACAAAACCATATCTGTTGTCTTTGAATCATTCACCCACACCTCGGGCTCTTTGAGAATCGTAATCTTCTGATGCCCAAAAAGTAGTGTTGAAGTAGTGTTACACTTGTACTTCATGAAAGTGATTTCGCCTCAGCCAGTAGCTTTCTTGTTAGCCCAGCTGCCTCAGCCAGTTACAGTGTTCGACAGCAGGGCCCAGAATGAATTATCCCAAATTACATTGTAAAATCCAACCAACAATCACTCCACAGTGATGGCAAAAAATTCACCCTTTTAAGTGTTCCCTCGAGGCAAAAGTCTCCATTATGTAAAATTGCTAACTCCTATCCACTCTGACTGGCTATGGTGGCAGTTCTCCATGCCAAGACACATGCCGGTGAACCACCACTACCATTGCTTGGCATGCAATCATCAACCTTTCATTCTAGACTTTGCTCATTTTACTTCAGTTAGTTTTCGCTTCCTTCTGTTTGCTTTTAAATTGAAATCATCATTCAGTCATATCTTGGTCAGTATGCACCCTTCAGAGGACCATTTTGTAACTTCTAAAGTTATAGTTTATGCCTGAGAAGCTACATACTTATTCAAACATATTGCTGTGTCTCTTAGTCCATTTTAGGTGCATCTGCCTTCCTGTATAAGAAGCAATTAAACATTAACATGAAATTACTCCTTATTTCCACAGGTATCCCCAAGAATACAGATAAAAAGCCCCCTGAGAAGGTTACTTTGGAAATCCCCCACTTCCCATTCACTAAAATTGAAAGTGGAGAAAGAAGTCAGTCAACTTCAACAATGTACTTAATTCTTTAGGACTCGTCCTAATGCAGGTGTAATGTCTTCAGCTGGATTTTGATGTATAAAATAAGCTTTCAGAGCCATTGAGAAACAGCTCTGTGTTGTTGTATACTTCTGGAATACTAACTCTCGGATAAGCATTTCTGTGAAACATGATTATTCGAGTCATGAAGAAATTATCCTCCCAGTTTCTGTTTACATAGGATGTTAAAATATTAGATTTCAATTTTCTGTCTGGATGCCTCACTGACTTAAATCATTTAGAACGTAGATTAATTGCTGTCTTTTTAACCTGTGGTTTAAGACCAACAATTTGATTTAAAAAAAAAATCGTTATTTGCCAAGAAAAATCAATTCCAGCACTCTGCTGCTGCCAAGAAAATTAAACAGGAGTTATAAAACAAGCTATTTCAGATTTTTGTAGTCTGTCCACTGTATAAAAGCAGAGTGAAAATGAGATTTATAACAGCAGGTCTGTTCCTCGTTTGCTTAAAAGACTTACAGATAAAGAAGGATTAAGCTCTTGTTTTGGGGGATTTGACTTATTTAAATTCATCTGATTCCTACTGTGGAAGGCTGAGGGGTGATAAGAAGTCTGTGTAGCTGGACTTCACAGCAGCAGTGGGAGTAACCTTGGTCTACCCAGCTGTCACTGACATTATATTTAACAAGGCTGGTGGTAATGCTGCTTAGACCAGAGTGGGCTCCAAAGACTCTTTATTAAACACTTTTTTTGAGGGAGGAAATTACCTCCACTTTTCTGCAAAGACACACCGTGACTCACTGCAGATCCTTAAGTAGTCTTATTTGATTTTCCTCATCTGTGAAAATTACACCATGCTTCTGTGTCACATTGGCTAATGCGCTCAGACAGCACATCAAATGAGCCTCATTATTAATGGACAAAAATACTCTGATTCAGATAGACAACTTTTTTCCTCATTAGGATAACTCAGTTTGGTTTAGTTTACAATTTGGTTTGAATTCTGGGAAATACACTAATTGGCTTTATTGTGCCAGGACCTTCACAGCTCCAACACACCATAGAGAAATGAAAGAACCGTCACCAAAAAAAGCGATAAAAGCACATGCACAGTGAAGTTGAACTCTGCTCATACCTTGATTTGGTGATTTACTGGACGACTGTCCTTCTCCAAGTTTACTAGCATAGAAACATGACCACCTCCACTACAGTAGGTGGCGTTTTGCCCCCTTTCAGCATGTCTGATCGGAAAGTTCTGTCTTTTTATATTCTTTCTTCGTCTGTGAAGGTTTTGTTTCCCTAGCTCACTACCATTCCCGCAATTTAACTTCCTGCTCAAAGCTAAGGATGCAAACACTGGAGTGTGCACAGAACGTTTGGGCCAGTTTTAATCTGAATTAGTTGTAAACATGGAAGAGACGATCAGTCCCTATCTGCATAATCCAGGTTTATTAGTCCAACTATGAGAAGTTCAGTTATGTGCCATTTTAGTCAGACTACCATTTCATGATTTTATTGAAGTATAGTTTCAGTCAGACTGAGGTAATAAATCAATTCTTTGAACAACATGTAAATGTACTGAGTGGTTGATGACCGCTCTCAACCTGAAAAAGTTCCTCCTCCCAAAACCTGTTTGTTCTTAAAGCTGTTATATCTTCAAGAAATTATCTTTATTCTCATCTTTTAAAGCTTAGGTGAGTAACTGTGGACAAAGAGATGCTTTTCACCACTTTGCTAATTCGTCCTGTGCATCCCAAAGTTGTGTTTTGGGACAATCCAACAGTCTTTCAGCCATTTAATGTATCATCCAATCGTGTATTGACACTGACCGCCCCTGGCAGCACTCACAGGCATGAAATCAACTTTATAGAAAACGACAGGCTTTTTTTTTAACCATTAATACTTACACTTAATACTTTCTATGGTATCTCATGACACGTTTCTATGTCTTGGGCCAATTTACTTTCTCTGGAAATCCAATCCAGTAATATTGCATCCCCTGACATACCTCTGTTGGACTTAACTTGTTAACTTGTTTAATGAAAATGAAAATAAAATAAAGTTTAAAAAAAGAAGGAATTGCTGGGCTAATCGCTGATGATCTGCTTTGCAAAGTCACAAAGAAACTTACCAAAGAGTTTCTACTTGTTTTCTAACTAGTCATAAACTCCCTTATAGTGGCTTTAACGTGAGATCAACAGGTGTCCAATAAGGAATCACTGCTCCTGGCAAAGAAATGCTGTAGTCCTCAACATTCACTCGTGCTGAGAACAATCTTGCATTTTCATTATTCCAAAAACCAAAACATCATATACTTCACAATGATAAGCTGTGCGTCATTCTTCTTCATGATATAAGACATTTCTGTATACATACCGGACATAAACTTCAGTGCAAATGTGCACGTTGCAGCTTTATTGCTTGAGATTCTCCTGATTAATGTTCCTATACTTCATGCATAAAGAACAGCAGTTCTTTTCAATACATTAAATGTCACGGTCAGATAAAAGCTATCCCACTGTGTTTCTATGCATACCAAACAAGATAAACACTTTGTTTGTCCACCATTGCTCACCAGCCTGTCAGAGGAACATCCTCTCTATAAACCCAACAATATGCTGCTCAGTGAAACCAGTCATCTATCAGCATATCTGAGATTCCTCTTCTTCTCTACAGTTGTTTTAAGCTTACGCAATAAAGCACTAATGTATGATGGTCCACATAAAAGCATATTAAACATGCTCATGGGTGGAAAGACAGATGAACAGACAGTCGGCTATCAAGCAGACGGCAGCTGATAACTGTCTCTGAGGAGCTTAATGACCTCCACCAAGAAGGCTTAAATGGCAGTTTGATGACACACAGCTATTTGTCCACTTTTGTACGAGAGTGTGAGTGAACAGCAGACATTCTGACACCATCATTTTTTGCTTCGAGGAAATAACAGAGATGATGGATATACGCCTGTTGAATTGGAGGAAACGGCAAAGCCTATATAGACTGGCCCCGTATGTTTGTGGCGCTGTGGGTCAGTGCGGTCATGATGTATGACTTCCTAAAGGTCAAGAGCACTGATACCAGCTTTAAATGACATCAGACGACAAGAGAAGAAAGGACCATGAAAGGCAATGGTGGAGATATGGGGGGTGTTTCTGTTCAGGTGCATGCTTTGTGTAATTTCCTTTCAGAATTAAAGAATTTAGAATAATTTTACCATCATGTTTAACATCTTCGGACATATTGTATCTTAATAGTGTCGATTCCGACATTTCAGTGATTACTTATAGCAAGAAAATGTATTTAAAGGGGGTATTTTCACAAAAGTCAATATTATTTTAACAGCTCCTTTTCCTTTTCTTCTTTTTTTTTTTTAAAGTCCTGCACAGTCTAGTATCTCTTGCATGACATCTACTATACTGCAATGCCACAAAAGGACAGAAATTAATGGCCAATTCCAAACAAGTAAATTCCAGGAACGTAAGAAACTCTGCTTTGTACCTCCATATTTAATTCCTCTATGAATAAAACTATATCCTTTATGGCATTAAACAAGCAAAATCACCACATATCACCCTTTAAAACAGCTGAATACGTACCTTTTTCTTTGATGCCTCTGACTTTTTGGACATATTTCTTAGTTTTTTGTGCAAGTGATTTAAAACCTGAAAGCAAAAGAAATAAAGGAAAGATGTTTTTGATTGCTCAGTCAGTTTTAGATTCATAAAATGACCCTTGACCCCCTGTGAAAAGCGTTTCTTACCTTTGCATAGCAGAAGGTAATCAGCAGCAGAGGCAGCACATACCCAAAAACAAAAGTACAAACGACGTAGACCTTCTTCTGGTTCTGATCTGGCCACACTTCCCAACAGAAGGTGTAGTTCTCCCCCCTGTGAAATATGTTCTGGTAGTACATGATGGGCGCTGCCATGGCCAGAGACAGAATCCAAATCACCACCACTCCGATCAGAGCGTGCTTCGCCACCCGGATAGAGGAGGACTTCCTGGAGTGCACAATGGCGATGTACCGGTCCACGGACATGGCAGACAGGGTGAAGATGCTCACCAGCATGGACACGGTGAAGAAGTAGTGGATGAATTTGCAAATAAAAGCGCCCAGTACCCAGGTCGGCATCATGTAGATGGTGGACTGAAAGGGGATGCAAAAGAGCAGGTAGGAGAGGTCAGCTATGCTCAAGTTGAGGATGAAGATGTTGGTGGTGCTCCGCGGTTTGCCTGGTTTGCTCCGAGCCAGCACTGTGATCACCATGGAGTTACCCAGAACACCGAGCGTAAAGATGAGCCCGAAAACCAGCAGCGTGATGAAGTTATCCGTGCCTATCCCGAATAAAAGTTTCTGGTCCTCTTCCTCCGCTCTGCTGATGTTCCATGGCTCATCCGGGAGCCAGGCAGACTCTGATGAGTTCATGATTTCTTTTATCACCTCAAGATAAACTTGAAACTTTGCTCAAACGACCTGTGGCAGGTCTGTGCGTCGCTGCTGCTGCATTATGACACAGTGTTGATGGTCACTGTGCGGTGCGTCTCCTCCGCGCTCCTGTGGATCGCCTGCTGCTTTCGCCTTCTTGTATCTTTGTTTCAAGGTAAGAGTAAATCCCTTTCCTATTGATTACTCTTCGAGATATTAAATCAACGAATTAAGGTCTTCTATTACTTTGCAGAACATCATTCATCGTTCCGTTGCGCGCGTCTAGGAGTCAGTTGTTGCGCACCTGAGCCGTCTGCGCTCCGGAAACGCGCGCATCCACTCTGAAGCCCATCTCTCTGCGCCCGTACTTTTCCCCTCTCGTTAAAGCAGGGGCTGGGCTGTCTCATAACGTCAGCAGCAGCGACCACCTCCCCAACAAATGCCGGGTAAAAAAAAAAAAAAAAAAATCATTTTACCACAGTTCGAGCTGGAGGCAAAAGTCCGTTTTTCCAACTTAATTGCCTGTAATAAATTATGTGCAAAATATAATTCTCATATTTATGACTGCAACGATTGCTTTGTGGTAAAAAGAGAAAAAAAGACGAGTTCAAGGGCACTCTCTCTTTGATTGCCTTCCTTTACTCTCATTCGTTTTGGTCATTAAATAATATAAGCTCTTGAAAATTTAATTCAAGCTCAGGGCAAAAGGATTAATCATTTTTAGCGAAGTATCAAAGAGGACATAGATATTGCAGTGTGACTAACTTTTGCCTGAAATCTTTCCCCCTAAAATGGTTCCTATGTTTATGTTTTTATGTCCTTTCCCTCTTCAACAACACATGCTTTTTAGCCTCAGATATGGATCTATACTGTCCAGATGGAAACCAAAAATGGACCTTTGGTGAAAGCAGTCTTATGGCTCTCCTAAACACAAGAAATGTTGTAAACTTCTTGAAAAAATGAAAAGTAGTTGCATTATTCTATTGCAATGATACAGAAAGATGATATTATATCTCCTGTTGACATGTTATGAGTTCCACAGCAGAAATGATCAAAGTTTTTGACTGCAGGACAAGCTGGGCTCCCTAAAGAGCTGCAGATTTCCCAGAAGACTTAAAGGTCATTATAAAGTTCAAGTGTATGAAATTTTCATGGGTGAACTCTTGGCTTTTTCTCCAGTGCTCCAAACTCCCTGGGCTGAATTTCAGTGAGATGAAGGATTTATACACTAAACCTCCAGAGTCCCTCTAAACCATCTCTACTGCCGCTATATGTGAACAAAATCCATAAACTGGCCAAATGCATTAATTTATAGTATCACTTAGTAGAGCTGTTTATGTTCAAAACTGTCTGAAAGTTGTAAAAGGAGTCTTCATCATTCCTAAGGGCTACTGCTTGACAAACGTGACAAACTTCCAGAGAGGCTGATCATATTTTGCATTTTCTCTCGACCAACGATTTCAAAGATGGCTCAATTATCAAGACAGTACCAAAGTATTGACATGAAGTTTTAAGTCTGTGATATAGTGGACTTTCAACACCAGTTATAAAATACACTGTTATGTCCTGCAACTATAAACATTGGTAAGATTCTGTGAACTAACACTAATTCACAAGTTTCTACGGGGTTAGATAAATAAGGAAAATCTGAGTAAGAGAAGACATCCCCCAGAGAGACTCATAAAAAAGAAAAGCTCTGTAAAACAGATGATTGGTATCAACCATATGTAATTTACTAATGTATGTATTTACTAATGTAATGTCATTTACGTACTACAGTCATGGGCTTATCAGCTGTTATTTAAGGATGCTACATGCCTCTGAGGACATGACACAACTTAGTATTTTTATTGTTCCAGCCAAGACTTAATAAACTGCTTAGTTTACAGTCCAATTAACAACTAGAGGAGAGATCATGTGTGGTCGGATCAAAAGTGACTTTGATGGTCCTCCTCGCTGCTATGGCTGCAAAAAAAGAAACGCTATCAAGTATTAAATCCAGCCAGGTGATAAGTAAGAAAGCTATGAAACAAAGATAAATATATATATATGTATATATAAATCATTTTCATTGTGTGAGTGACCTTACTTACTTACTTGTTAAAATGTTTCACTACACTGTATCTTTGTGATTTCTTCTTTTAAATCACATTGGTATCAACACCTGTTATTGTCCCATGTCAGGAGATAAAATAGGAGCAGATTCAGTGAATTGTGCAGACAGCAGTGGTGCAAGAGCTGAATGGTACAGGTGAGGGTGGGTTAGGAGAGAGTAAGTTGTTGTTTTCTGTTTTACTCAGACTTTTGGAGCCCAGAGGTTGGGCTCGGTGCTCGCTGTGCCTAAGAGCTAACAGAAAAGGTTCAGAGACAAGACCAGGCAGTGAGCCGGGTGTCTAACACACACGCATGCTCACATCACAGCTATCCAGTCTTTCAGATATGATTAGATTAAATCTAACCTCTAAATGGTCGGGATGATTGTTATTCAAAGGTCAGACACAAAACAACAACAGCCAGTATAAAACAAACAGATTAAAGGTTATGTTACTGTTGTTTAATAGGACATTTAATGTGTACTATTGACATTTACAATACTCTCTACACACTGGCCTGTGGTGCTGTGGTAGACAGTTTGACATTTTAACTCCTTCTTTCCAAGATTTAGCAGAAAAGAGAAGCTGCTGCTGCAGAAAAATGATCAGTTCCAGCTGTACTAGAAACTGTCTGCAAGCTCCAGTAAGATTAATTAATTTTTGTGTATTTTTTTCAAATCTGTCCAAATACCAAACGAGAACAAAGAAGCAGGTAAGCAAGGGCACAAAGTTATAAAGACAAGCTAAATGACCAAGTCTGCAGTTATCCTCGTCTGTATGATTTGTCATCACCATTTCACAGCTACAAAGGTGCCACTTAAAATACCTGGCAATGAATTTCCTGGTGTAAAATTGAAGTAAGTGCTGGACTTTACCACCTGAACATAGAGGAAAATGTTGGAGAAACTGAGTGTGTGCAGTGCCGATGGTGTGAACTGTCATTTGGTCATCAGTCCTCTGGGTTGGCTCAAGAATGTGTTGCACACTAGGCCACTGGAACCCACTATTTGCACAAGAGTATCCTCCAGGAGTTCTGCCAGCTCCTTTGTTTACATCCTTTCTGTCTGGTCATTGAATACAGTCTGTGCTCCCTGGTCTGCCCTCTAGAAGTGTCCTCCAGTGAGACATGGAGTTCATCGTCAAGTATATTTACAACTGCTCTCATTATGCAGCCTGGCTACTTGGAGCCAGTACATAAGGGAATCTCAAACACAGACTCAAGCCGAAGGGAGTCTCTGCTACAGACCGAGGTCCTGGGGACTCGACTTGAACTCTGGTGACTCAGACACTGACTTGGAGTTTTGACACTAACCCCAGTTTGAACACCCTAAGTGTTAAATTACAATTATCAAATCATAGCCTACATTTCCCATAATGCACCTCAATTGGAGTTTTTAAAGGACACCCCTCACATTCTGTAATCCATGCTGTCTTGAAACAAAGATCTGTGACTCAAAAGACTTCATATGGGTTTTTTTTAGACTTTAAAAAGCTTCCTACAGCGTGGACAACATCACAGGACCACAACTGCTCCATTTAAAGAGACCTGTTATACGTCTCTTTTGTTTTCTTAATACCTTAATACAAATACGGTATTAAAACTTAAAAAAAAAAAAAGAAAGAGTATGGCAACTGGGAATAGCTTTTTAGGATCCCTTTCAGCTGCCTGTCCTTCTCTTTTTCTATTTTAAAGACTTTTTTGTGTAGATATCTTCCACTAGATGGGGCTGTTTATACTGAAGTGCTGCATTTAAAGCGTTTTAAATTCAGTTTTGATTGATATATACGGCTGATTTAATTTATCTTTCAGTGTGCCGGTCTTTCTGAAAGATTGAGTGCTGCTGTCTCTGCCTCTATCTTGCTGTCGGTGTGCCAGTGGCGTACACTTCAGTGGAAATAATGAGAAAACTGAACCAGCCAATTAGATTGAGCGAAGCCACCCAGGTTAAATCTTTGTGGTCCCAAACTGAAACTGCATGTAAATAAAACATTTGGAGAAGCACAATCACATCAGGAATATATTTGTTCTCGTGTTCAACACAAACTCAGGCTGCAAATGTAGTTTTCTGCTTGTTTGTCTGCACATTAGGGACGTGGTTTGGATGGGCTTCTTTCAGCAGATAATGTCATTTTAGGAATTACAACTGAGGCCTCAGATTCAGGAGTAGCCCAGAATTATATTAGGCATGCTGCACTCTGCATTTACTGCCAGAAAAAGACAAAGTAGGACAATAATTTTTCTAGGGGAAAGATTACATAATCTGTGTCGAAGAGGCTATGGAGCAGTGTTTAACAGCATTTAAAACCTCCATCTTTATACTTTGGATGAACTTTTGAGGATATCATCGACATCATACATCCTTTGATCAACTGTCCGACTCACAGAGCCACCCCTGTATGAGGGATGATAGTCTTTGATTTGTATTTATTATCATGCCAGGCAGTGATTGTGGCTTTGCTCCGTGAAAGATCTTATCAGAGCCTCTTCCCGCTCCTGCATGATTGAATCCAAAAGGTTAAACAAGGCAGTGCTTAATATTCAGCACATTTCTTGGAGGTTAATAGCCAAATGTGCAATTAGGGTGTGACTGTTTTGTCCTGAAACACCCTTTAAGCGGACGTAGTCCATTTTTAAAACCATACTTCAATATTAAGAAACAGCAAAACAAAGAATGTGGCATCAATGACATCAAAGCTACTAATCAGCTGAAAAATTCTGTGTTCTGTAGCTCTCTTTTTGCCAAGGCAGGATTTTTCATCGGTTTACTTCTGTCATCCTTTTTCCAGAAAGCTCAGGTGCCTAAAGGTTATAGCTGTTGTTCTGCATGCAGGCTTAACCTGAGCTGCATGTGTTCATTTCATGTTTTAAAAAACATTAAAAGAGACTAAAGAAGACAGCAGAGACAGCTCTTCATTCATTAAGAATTTGACAAGCCTCGATTTTTCCAAATATGTTTGAGTCATTAGTTTCTATGAAGGTTTTTTGTTTTTTTAATTATTATTCTGGAGGAGTACTAAAGGAGAATGTTTTTGGTTGTAATACTGTTGAGCTGTTACATCAGAGCACTTTGAAGACCACATTAGAAAAAGACATTATTCTAATTTATTCTGATTTCCTTCTTCACTCTTGATTGAGTGTACTCAGTTTGATGCAGGACTGTTAAAATCTATCTGATCACCGTCTCCTTCTCTCACACACAGTTGTTTTGGTTCCATTAGATAATGGTGAAGATGAGGAAATGGGTCGTTTCTGTGCTTATATGA